GTGATTTGTAGACATACATGAGTATTTTGAACTGGATTTGAAAGTGAACCAGTAGCCAGTGCAGTGAGGCCAAAACTGGTGTAATGTGTTCTCTTTTGCCTGTACTGGTTAAAAATCGGGCTGCTGCATTCTGGACCAGTTGTAGTCGTGCAATGGAGGTCTGACTGATACCAAACAGGAGTGAATTGCAGTAATCAAGCCTAGATGTAATGAATGCATGTATTACTGTCTCCAGGTTATTTTTGGACATTATGGGCTTCAGTTTAGACAGCCGCCTCAGTTGGAAGAAACATGATTTAATAATCATGTTTACATGATTGTTAAGCTTCAGGGAAGGGTCCATTATCACTCCCAGATTCCCATTGACTCTTTGTTTTTCTGACAGGGTTAGAGCGGAGAGGTCGATACAGTGGTTTGTGATCGTGTCGTTGGGAGGGAACAACATGACTTCAGACTTCTTTTCATTGAAACTCAAGAAATTTAAAGCCATCCAGTCCCTGATGTCAGCCAGGCAGTCGAGCAGCGGTTGAATAGAGCATGTACCATTGTGTCTTAGGGGGAAGTAAATTTGACAGTCATCGGCATAGAAGTGGAAGGGCATGTTGTGTTTCCGGAAAATAGCACAAAGCGGCAGCAGGTATAAAGCGAATAGGAGGGGACCCAGGATGGACCCCTGCGGAACGCCCCATTTAAGCTCTGCCTCTGCGGAACTAAAATCCTTGATGGAGACACAAAAGGATCTGTCAGCGAGGTAAGATCTGAACCAATTGAGGGCTGATCCTGTGACGCCCACCCACTGCTCCAACCTAGCAATGAGGATCTCATGGGCAATGGTGTCAAAGGCGGCTGTGAGGTCCAACAGGGCAAGCAGCACAGAATCACCGATATCTATGGATATGAAGATGTCGTTAAAGACCTTCAGCAGTGCAGTTTCAGTGCTGTGGAGAGGTTTAAAGCCAGATTGGAATAGTTCTAAGATGGTGTGATCCTCCAGGAAGCACTTCAACTGGGACTCGACTATTTTCTCCAGTACTTTAGAAACAAATGGGAGTTTGGAGACAGGCCGGTAGTTGGAAACGACTGAGGGGTCAAGGTTTGGCTTTTTCAGGAGAGGCTGGACGGCAGCATGTTTAAAGGATTTTGGCACCACGCCAGTGGATAAACTACTGTTTACTATATCAAGAATGGACGGACCTAAAGTTGGAAAAACCTCCTTTAGTAGTCGAGGGGGGACCACATCAAAGTGGGAGCCAGAAGGTTTTAAGCTGCACATGACCTGCTCTAGAGAAGATAGAGTGATGGGTTCAAAATGGTCAAAAGGAGCTACAGATTGAGGTGGGATGGATGGATCATGAGTTGGAGGGGAAATGAGAGCCCGGGTGGTCGCAATTTTTTCCAAAAAGAAATGTAAGAAGTTGTCGCACAGCTCAGTCGAGGCTTCCAGAGGTGATGGTTCAGTGAGGTGGAGAACAGAGTTTAGAGTGGAGAAGAGGACACGTGGGTTGTGAGAGTTTGAGGTAATTATATCAGAGAAGTATTTGGATTTAGCAGCTTTCACCGCTTTCTGATAACGGCGCCAACTCTCTTTAAGTATTTGAAAAGAGACCTGCAGCCTGTCTTTCCTCCACTTTCGCTCCGCCCTCCTACATTGCTGCCTAACGGCCTTGGTGATGTCACTCAGCCAAGGTTCTACTCTCAGTTTTGATTTTCTAGTTTTAACAGGCGCAACATGATCCAGAGTCTTTAAGCATACAGAGTTGAACTGGGATGTCAGCTCCTCAGTGGTGTTGAGAAACACTTGGGGCTGAACATAAACATAAATGTTTAAAACATGTCAATGCCTGCATATATCTAACCCTAACCCTGCAAAGAAAATCTTTGCAGAAAATGGTGAAGGCTGCACAGAAGACTTTTGGAGTCAGCCTCCCCCTCATCACAGACATTTACTCCTCTAGATGCAGGATGAGAGCCACCTGCATCATGAAGGGCCCCACCCACCCAGCACACACACTTTTTGCCCCGCTCCCCTTAGGAAGGAGGTTGAGGAGCATTAAGTGTAGAACCACTAGACTGATGAACAGTTTCTACCCTGAGGCTGTTAGACTTATGAATCTCTAACCAGAATAATCACTGTGAAAAATCACATCATGTTGCTGCTGATCTGTTTCATGTTGATGTGTTCATGCACGCTCATCTGCTCACACAGACTCATGCTCATGTTCGTGCTACTGTTTGACGTAATGTTTTTATGCTATTAGTGCTTAGTGTATATTTAGTTGATGTTTTTCTTAGTTCATATCTTAGATGTTATCATTGTTTTTCTTTTACATTTTATTGTTGGATGTAACTGGGACCCTGTGTACATAATTTCGTTCCACCACATGTACCACATGAGGTGGAACAACTAAAGAATCTCTTGACTCTCTCTGACTTTGATATACTCTTTATGTATGTGTGATTGTGTGTGTGTGTGTGTGCGTGCATGCGTGTGTTCAAAATGAAAACTTAAAAAGACTTTGTTAAAAAAAACTAAGACCTAAAATCCTTGGTGTTTGCATGTTTGTAGGAGCAACCTCTGCATGATGTGATTCAAGAGAGTCTGCATCGCCACCTAGAGGGAATTTCGTTCAGAGAGAAGAATGCTGGACCGAAGATAGACATGAACATGAGGGATGAAGGTAGAGCAAGACTGAAAACACCCAGCAAAACATCATTTACTATACAATGAGTCTTGTTTTATGTATAAAATATGGTTTGATTGATTTGTCAGGTTTTATAAAGCAAGGCTGGAACCATTTTTTCACTCCTAGCTTTAACATTTTGGCATTTATTAAGTTGCTGCAATGCATTCCCTGAAATTTGTCTGTTTCAAGAGTGTTATTCCAAATGTGATAATTACTTTGCTATGTATTCAATTAGGGCTGCAACTAACGATTATTACAATAATCGATTCATCTGCCAATTATTTTTTCGATTAATCGATGAATCGGCAAAAAAAATAAACGTTTTCATTTCCACCCCTTTATTCCAAAATTGAACATTTGACTGACATAGAAATTCACACAAAAAACAGGTTGCTATTTGACTATTCTGTTAGTAAAATATTGAATAATAAAAAATAAAACTTAGGTAAATAGCTTAAAAAAATTAATGTACACAAAATTTATACAAATGTATCTTTATACCTGCACAACATGTAGCTACTTTGTAAAATGTGTCCTTGAGGGAAGAGTGTAACCTGGATTAAAAGTGTGGAATATTGTAACTTGGATTAAAAGTGTGGATCATTGTAGTGAAGCCTTCGTCTTCAACCATCGACAGAGACCTCATGTCAGTGATGATCATTTAAGGATGTTATCAGTGAAGACAACTGCTGCTGTGGTGTCCATGATGTCTGTCCATCATGAAGGATGTTGTTGTTTGTTGTTGTTTTCTGGAATGAGAGAGTAAATATGTATTATAGCATAATTTTACAGCAACTCAAGAAATGCCTTGTTTCACTTACTTAGGTTAAGGCAAAAGTAGCTAAAAGAGCAATTAAACACACACACATATAAAATACTTAATTTACACATTTGAGTAGATGTAATAAATTACTTTAATTCCTGTTTAAATGTAATTCATCCTGCCATACCTGCAGTATCTTCAGACTTTGCCAGCAAATTAAAAGTTGAAGCGTAATCATTAATTTATTATCTTTGTGTTAGATTTATTTATAAATCATATTTAAACACTGCTTGTACCAATTAAATAAAATAAAAAGTAACACACGTTCTCTATCACCGTCATTAATCAGATAAACAAGCAGCTTCATCTACCAGACAGACTGACGTTACGTTTTCTCTCTTGGAAACACAACAATGTGTTAAATTGTAAAGACTCACATGCAACACGAGTTGGGAGTGAGACGAGTTGTATCAGCTGTTCAGCTCCTTCCTCCTCCTCGTGACTCCGACATGTTTATGTTTATCTCCGTGGTTCTTCCGTGTCGTGTCGTCAATTTTCAAAGCAGCATGTTTCTCAGTTTTTATCTTTGTGAAGAGCTCCCACACTTTGGAGGACTTGGGTCGAACAGTTTTCGCTGTGTTGGTCATTTGTAAAATTTACTTATTTTCCTTTAAAAACAGCCTCTGCTCTGCTTCCGCCTGCCCCCTCACTCTGTTCAACTTGCGCTGCAGTTTTTTTTTTTTTTTTCAAACTTTATTTAGTCAGTCAGCATTGACAATGAACTGCAGGTGAACAAAACGGCTCTGCAGTGCCATGAAAGACGCTTAATCACGCAACACAACGAATCAATAATGAAATTCGTTGCCAACGCTTTTAATCATCAATTTTTATCGATTCGTTGTTGCAGCCCTATATTCAATTTGACCTTTGATTATACAGGTTAGTCTCATTGAGCCTTGAGGACTCATTGACAAGAGAGACCTGTTTTAAACAAAGAACTCAGATGACAGCAGTAGACAGTCATAAAAAAGCATATAAAATGTAAACATAAGAAATGACAAAATGACAAAAAGCTTTTACATTATCATTATTGTAACATCATAAGTAAGTACAACATTCTGGATTTTGATAGCTATCATATTTTTATGGATGCTTGCCTGATTTTTAAAGTTTTAAATGGACTTGCTCCTCCTCCTTTAATGCATTTTATAAGTAAAAAAAACAAGTATAGTAAACACAAGAGCACTGACCAGAGGAGATTGTGATGTACAGCGGCGCAGGACTAAATTTGGCCAAATGATGGTGTCCATCAGAGGCAAGCAGTCGTGGAACACACTACCAGTTTCCATCAAGAACTGTGGCACCTACTCCAGCTTTAAAAACTCTCTGAAACTTTGGCTGAAAACTAACCAGAGGTGCACTCGTGTAGTGTTGTGTCGGGACGAGGGCTGGCTGCGGGTAACCGGTCACACAGAGGCCCCCTCTCGGACCCTGGACCCGCCCCCAGCCCACGTCGCTTCCCCTGGCTTGAATCTCCCCCAGAAGTGGCAACTCACAATATCAATAAATCAAGGAAACGTCAATTAAGTTTTACCAATTGTATTAAAATCAAGGCAGGAAAAGGTTACAATTTACAGCGCTGGTCTCTCCGGTCTGTGACGCGATCATAAAACCCAGAAGAGCCCGATGTCCCGTGTCATTACTCATTTATAGGGTCCTAGACTCCTCCTTCGCAGAAGGGGAGCTCAACCTGTCAGTGTATGAGGGGGCGTGACTAAGTGTGATCTCAATGGATCTTTTGTGGTTCTGATGTGTTAGGAAATATGAGACAGTGCTTCAAAAGCCTTTCTATGTGATGTAGCAAGCAGATTAAACTCTATTCCTTAACAGATATTGAATCCCTGGGAGACTCTTTTTAGAGTTGCTGGCCCAGTTTGACCCAGTCAGAACTGGGTCATAATTTCATTATAATCCCGTCTCTGAGCAGATCAAAACCATAGGACCAGTCTAGATAAAAATATCCAACAACTCCTCCTGGTCGAGGGACCTTAAAAGGGTTCCCTTGAATAAACTCCCAGTTCAATACCGCCGGATATGCAAGCAATTAATCATTTTTCCTCAGGTTGAATGTAAACTACTCCTTGTATGTTGGCGGGAGATGCCTACAGGCTAAATATATGATTTAATGATTGCAGAAGGCGTCCTAATGGAAGAAAGCATTCTTTTCTAATAGATGTTAATCGGTTTGTAGAACCTGAACTTCTCTTTTTGACTCCAAAGGCAGGCCTGGTCCATTTTGTCTATCTGGAAAGGAAAAAGAAAGAACTCTGTGCCCCCTTCCCCTTCAATATGCAATACCCAATTTATTTGCACAGAGCGCTGCCAGTGTTTAGCCTGTCACAGCAGAAAATGTGTTTGTGTGAATAAAATCTGATTTAAACAATGTGTTTTAACGTGCATATTGTATGTAAATAACAGAACCTCCCAACTCCCCCTGATGATCTAATATAAAAACATTCCCAATTAACCAACAAATCGTTGGTTACGTACTGTAACCCCAGATTCTATGAATATAGGCGTAGCCCTTTAAGGCTGTCACTGATGGGTTTATCCCGTTATGCAGAGCATAAGCACTGAAAAAATTTAGTCCACGCCCACCTGCTGTGTGGGCCCCACCCGGTCCGTATAAATTACGTTAAGAGCGGGAAATCGGCTCCCAAAATAGCTTTTTTCTTCAGCCATTTAGGAGCCAGTGAGGCCCGACGCTTAAAGGGCTACGCTACCCTATGCTAGGGTTGCAAACTGTAACTTGTACCATTTGCATAAAACCTTGTCCATCCATCTGAAAAACGACGAGCATGTTTTAGCCACTCTACGTAACGTTCGTAGGGTGAACGTGCGTTAAGTGATGTGTCACGTTTTGTACGGCTGTCAGCAGTCCGCCCCTCAACCGCCGTCATGCGTCGCGGGAATGTTTTCTGTGTGATCCCGGGCGAGGCTTGTGCTGAGGCGAAGCGTGTGACAGCTGATGACGCGGTGGGGCTGCGCGTTTGACATCGCTGTGCGAACGTTGAGAGGCGGAGGGCGTGACTTCATTTACGCCGCGCTGTTGGAGTGAAGGCTGCTAGCCCCGCGGGAGCACACGTTTTTTTCTGGAGGGACGCGCGCCGCTCTCGCTGGAGGGGCGCTCGCTGGAGGGAGGCGGGGCTCATTACCGGGTTCTTTCAGCTGCTTCACGTTTAAGCTGCGGTGAGCTGCTGAATGCTGAGACGCGGTGGGTGACGGCTGCCCGCGTTTGATTCGTTGAGACGGGTGTCGCTTCTTGTGAGAGAGAAGGACCTCCACCCGAACCAGCCTGCGGACCACATTTATACCGATGTGAGCTGGTTAGCGCCGGGCAGCTGTGTGTGTGCGCCAGCATCAACGCAGCGCCGTTGGATGGAGTCTGTTTCATTCTTGTGATCGACTCGTCATGCCTAGAGCGGCGGTGAGTTTAAAAACCTTATTTAAGGACACCGGCTCATGTGTGGAAGGCTGTTCCATCCCACGAGTGCGAGTTGACACCGCTTGAGTGAGGATCGTGCAGTTCTAGTTGATAACGAGTTATTTTCGCTTACCGTTGTGCCGTGATCGACTCGTCATGTCTAGAGCAACGGTGAGTTAAAAACCTTTAATTAAGGACACCGGCTCATGTGTGGAGGCTGTTCTGTGATCGACTCGTCATGTCTTAGAGCGACGGTGAGTTTAAAAACCTTATTTAAGGACACCGGCTCGTGTGTGGGGCTGTTTCATCCCACGAGTGCGAGTTGACATCGCTTGAGTGAAAATCGTGCAGCTCGGGATTATAACGAGTTATTTTCACTTACCATCGTGCCCTGTAAGCGACCAGTAATGTCTTGGAGCGGCGGTGAGTTTAAAAAAACTTATTAAGGACACCGGCTCTTAATGTGTGCGGCCGCTGTGAGCTCATCCGAGCTTACAGACTGGCTAAAAAACAGACACTTTGATCATTAATGATGATTTATTTCAACTTTCGTGTCACTTTTACACACACCCTCCGGAGACCGTCATTTTGAGAAACTTCTCTCTCATGAGCTCTGCGATTGTTTGCCCAGAGCGCTGTCTTGCAGGCGAACTCTGGGGAAACGCTGAGCTGCAGGTTGCCGGAGTGAAGAGGGCTGGATTCTGACGGGCGGGGCTGGTGGTGGAACTCAGCGAGAGCCGCGGCCGT